TCCATCACCAATTCCCAGAGCTTGCTCAAACTCATGACCATTGAGTCAGTGATGCCATCCAACCATCTCATCCTCTGTTGTACCCTTCTCCTCCTGCCTTCAGCCTTTCCAAGCATCAGGATCTTTTCCAATGAGTCAGTTCTTCTCATCAGGTGACCAAAGTATTGGAGCTTCAGCTTCAGCATCAGGTCTTAAATAGAGTATTGAGGACTGATCTCCTTTAGGATGGACTGGTTGGATCTCCTTACAGTCCAAAGGACTCTCAAGCATCTTCTCCAAAACCACAGTTCAAAAGCATCAATTCTTCATTGCTCAGTCTGTCATCATTTCCATTGTTTCCCCATCTTTTCGCCATGAAGTGATGGGATCATATGCCAATATCTTAGTTTTTTGAATGCTGAGTTTTAAGCCAGCTTTTTCACTCTCCTCTTTCATCGTCATCACAAGGCTCTTTAGTTCCTCTTTCGCTTTCTGCCATAAGGATGGTGTCATCTACATATCTGAATATGTTGATATTTCTCCTGGAAATCTTGATTCTAGCTTGTGATCCATCCAGCCTGGCATTTCTCACAATGTACTCTGCATATAAGTCAAATAAGCAGGGTGACAATACACAGCCTTGATGTACTCCTTTCCCAATATTGAACCAGTCCATTGTTCCATGTGCGATTCTCACTGTTGCTTCTTGACCTGCATACAGGTTTCTCAGGAGGCAGGTACGGTGGTCTGGTATTCCCATCTCTTTAAGAATTTTCCAGGGAATTCCCTGGTGGTCCAGTGGCTAAGACTCTGCGCTCCTGATACAGGGGGGCTGGGTTCGATCCCTGGTTAGGGAACTAGATCCCACATGCCACAACTAGGACTCTATGTAGCCAAATAAATAAAAATAAATGTTTAAAAAAAAAAATTTTCCAGTTTGTTATGGTACTGAGTTGGCCCAAAGGCAAGAGATGCCAATTTGAGCAGGCAGTGAAAATTCCCCGATGAACATGCCCAAGAAAGGTGGAAATGATAAAATACCTAATCTGTATAAACATCTAGAAATAAACTAATAACAGGAATTGCCATAACCAATGGGAAAAAGTAAAAACTAATGATACAAATGAAATGTATGAAAATGATACAAATGAAAACAAATATACAATCACGAAAGAGCAAAGAGAATAAGAAAGGTGATAAAGTGATTTTACATGAGGAGACTCATAAGCAAAGAGTAATGTAAAATTGTAATATAGTTTCAGCAATGTAAACCCCAAGTTTATGTAACCAAAAATTGCGAAGTAAATATTTAGTATAGTGAAAGTAAGAAAGAAGGAAAGCTAAATAGAGATTTATAATAAAATGGAATCAACACATACTGTCTAAAATGAAGAAATCAAGAGGCACCACTTTAAAACTATTATCAAAATGATGTTTAAACATGAATACAAGAAAACACAGCTAAAAATATTGAAGGTGCTTAGTTATTTCAGTAGAACAAGAGAAAGGAAGGGAGAGAAAGAGTGTGGGGCTATAGACTGATTTTTGCTGTGTTATTTAATCACACTGGATTAAATATTTTAAAACTTTAATTGGAGGATAATTGCTTTACGATGTTATGTTAGTTTCTGCTGTACAGCAAAGTAAATCAGCTATAAGTATACATATATCCTCTCCCCCCAGAGCCTCCCTCATACCCCCCTCCATCCCTCCCCTCTAGGTCGTTTCAGAGCATCAAGCTAAGCTCCCTGTGTTACACAGCTGGTCCCACTAGCTGTCTATTTCACACATGGTGGTAAATATATTTTGGGCTTCCCAGGCGGCTCACTGCGGTGGAGCCCGCCACTGCAGGGTTCAATCCCCGGGTCGGGAAGATCCCCCGGAGAAGGAAATTGCAACCCACTCCAGTGTTCTTGCCTGGAAAACCCCATGGACAGAGGAGCCTGGTGGGCTACAGTACACGGGGTCACAAAAGAGTTAGACACAACTTAATGACTAAAACAGCAACAGCAAAGTGTATATATGTCAATACCACTCTCTCGATTTGTTCTACCCTCTCCTTCCCCCGATGTGGCCACAAATCTGTTCTCTATATCTGCATCTCTATTCCTGTCCTGCAAATAGGTTCATCAGTACCATTTTTCTAGAGTCCATATATGTTCGTTAATATGTGACATTTGTTTTTCTCTGACTTACTTCACTCTGTATGACAGACTCTAGGTTCGTCCACATCATGACAACTGACTCAATTTTGTTCCTTTTTATGGCTGAGAATTATACTGGATTTCAAAATTGTGGTCCATGTCTCCTGATTTAAAATTTAAAAATCTATTTTAAAATTTAAACTTAAAAAAATTATAGTGCTCTTTTCTTAAAGAAAATGAAAAAAGTTTCATAGTCACCAGCAGGTGGCACTGTTTTCTCTCACTGTGAGACTTTTCTTCCAAATCCTGTCACCTCTGCTTTTTCCTCACTCATTTGATTATATTAAATTATATCACTTTTCCTCACGAGAACTAAGAAGCCCAAGCTGATT